AAACGAAACTGTAGTTTTGCGTCGTTGCGGGAGTGAAATGCAAAAATTTAGGTTTTTATGTTATCAATGGAGTTGATTTAATTAATTTGCCACCATAACGAGATTCATGAAAAGCTTTTGAATTTATTTACGGCGATATTTGGTTTATCAACTCAGTAGGTAATACTAATTTAGAATTAGGTTCAGAATCTTAGTGATCTTGAGGGAGAATTATTTTATAATTTCGGAAGTCGCATCATGGATCTCCTTTCCAGTTTCCATTTTGAAGTGGTTAGAAAAGTCGGTTAAACGCATTTGCAAGAAACTTAGCGAGGAAAAAAGGTCATCAGTCCTTTGTTTGAATTACCTCATGAAATCAATTATTTATTATTATTACAGCAGTTCACAACGTGTGCATCATTAGAAAAGTAGCCACATAGGACGCAAAGCGTAGCCTATGCTGCTTTACAGGAATTCGACACGAAAAATGTGATAAGGAGTTAAATTTTTATTGATGCAATAAAAAAAATTCCTAAGGAGTCCAAAAGCTAATGCAAACCTAGGGTTTTTATAATAAAAAAGTAAGCCTAAGAGATCCTATATCTTTATGTATATTATATAATATTTAAAAAACTTAAGACTAATGGAAGCTTAAGTTTTATATGATGAAATAGAAATACTAAATCAAGCGTAAAGCATATCCTGTCCACTATCTATGTGACAACACTTGACATCCGGGTCTATGACCTCACTTAGTAGTAACTTATTACTATTACTATTATTATTATTATTATTATTATTATTATTATTATTATTATTATTATTATTATTATTATTATTATTATTATCATTATTAGAAAAGAGAGAGAAAAAGAGAGTCTTTCAGATTTTGGGATCGAATTAAAGTTGCAGATGAATAATCTGTATACAGTCGCGGCCTCCTAGTCCACCCATGATTTTATCAAAGGTGCACTGTAAATCAAAAAGATCTGTTTTAGCCCTTAAAATGAGGCCGTTTCGGTGAGTAAAATACAGTCCTATCTTTGAGTCTAATTTGGCTCCCTTAATCAGGGCCAATACAGTCCAATTACCAAGGGCTGAAATGGGCCCCAGCGGGGGCTGGAATAGACTTTTGATGGGGCTGCTTTGGCTTAAATTGTGCTCAAATGGCTCCAAGAGGGGCTGAATCAGACTTAGCCCGGCAGGGCTGAATTGGCACTTTGGGGCTGAGACAGATCTTTTAAATTTTCAGTCTTGAAGGGCTATAAATATTTGTCTTGTCTAGACTAGGCCACCTTTGTGTCTTGAAAGCTTCTTATACTTTAAACTTTTCTGGTCTGGAGTGAATCATCTAATTATTCTAACGCCTCCAGAAAGCAACTTTTTACTTGTCTAGCTACTGTCGAGATGGCTTTTTATGCATTGAATAAAGTGATCAACGGTAAATTTGACTCTCATGGAATGGTTCGTATTCGTGCTTTCTGTCAAACCCAGTTCATTTTAGTCCTATTAGAGTGCCAAAAAGACTGATTTCAATGACTTTTTTTCACTGTGAAGGAAAAAACAAACAAACAAACAGACAAACAAACAAAACGACTGCACCGCTATATTAAAAGCACTTGAAGAACATTTCACGATCTTAATTTTTTTTTAATAATCACAGCAGAAGTACTGTATTTCCTCGAATAATAGCCGTCCCTCGATTAATCGCCTCCCTCGAATAATCGCCCCCTTTTGATGGAAATATTAGAAATAGTCGCCTCCCTCGTATAATCGCCACCCCCCCCCCCCCCCCCCCCCCCCCCCCCCCCCTTCCCTTTCCTTTTTGCCTATCATTTTTTTTTTTCTTTTTTTTTAAAAAAAAAAAAAAAAAAGATTTTTCCCCTTTTTTTTTTTTTTTTTGGGGGGCGGGGGAAAAAAAAACCCAAATGCCCCTGTACTTCCGACCGCCATCAACCCTTTTTTTCTAAACGTGTGGTAAAATACTTTTTCCATATCCCAAAAAAAGGGGGCATAGCCTTTTTTTTTCGTTTACCCCCCCCCCCCCCCACCCAACCCTTCTCGTCATCTTCTCTTTCTTTTATTCCCTCCCGGTCAAGTTTAAGTGGAATCTGATCCAGCAAAACTGATCACTGACAATCCAAGCTCTAAAAATTATTCAACGAACCAAATTTGGAACTCTTAAAAAGCCCATGTACAGTTCATTTGATGTGATAATTTTTTATTTATTTATAGGGATAATAAAACGCAATATTTAGGTCACGACTTCCAGTGAGCAATATTCCCTCGAATAATCGCCCGTTTTGATGCGAAAAAAGAAATAATCGCCCCCGGCTATTATTCGAGGAAATACGGTATTTATATTTCGATCCACTCTAAAACTCCAGGTGCTAAATAGGAATTTAATTGCTGTCGTGACCTCACGCATATCATTCGTTTTCACGTGCAAGATGTATTCAAAATGATTATACTAGGTCAAACTAGGCTATGTTTTTGTTATCATTTTCAGTTCATTTCCAACAGAGATGTTACAAACAAAAAGAACTGTTACAAAAATAATATTCATTTGCCTCTTTCAGTTATAAAAAAATGAAGGAATTTTAGCATCTGCCCGAACTACATTCTTTTAATAACTCTTTTTGGTATCTTTCACAACGATGCCACTTTAATCCCCGTGATCACTTGCCTTTGTAAACATAATTAACTGGAAGGGTTTAATGAAAATTTCATTTATCGACGACCGCGCCAATCACTTAGTTTTGTTTGCCAAAGTATTATTTTCCAAGCGCTCTATTTTTGAATTTTCAGTGGCGGAAACTTTGTTGTTGAGTTTCCATTTTGTGTCAAACCCCGACCTAGGTTTCTAATTTTTTGGGGTTTTATTCCACTTGGCTAATGGAAATTATTTCCTCGTTTTTACATTTTCGAACGTTGTTCGCCTGCAAGTTCCTCCAAAGAGCCTTTTTTATTCAAGATTAGATATAATTTTCGAAATCAGCAATTTGCCTAACGGTTATTATGGCTTCTTGTTTGTTAGGTCATGAATTAACAACATATTACCAAACATAGTTTTGTTTGTAGCACAATTTCATTTGCTTTTATTTCTTGGCGGCTTGTGTCTAGACTTAAACTGAAACAGAATATCTTCATTCACCATCAGGAGATAACATATCGAAAAATGTAAGTAATCTCCTTAAGAAATTCTTAGCGTAGTTGGGGCCATGGAATGCCTATTAGTGTTTAGGCAAATGCGAAATGCGGTATCGTACGGTTACCCGGGCTCAGCGTGTATACAATGAACGAGTTATGGCGTGTAACAATTTTGAGTTGGCATTTGTCGCTGTCAAGAGTTTATCGACGCCCAGGAATCCATGTTTTTGAAACCGAAATCACCTAAGCGCTTTTTTAGAAGTTGCATCTTTGCGTGTTTTAGCGCGAAAGCGAAGGGTCTAAGTAGCTATAGCTACCTTGAAGGGGATTTAGTTGATGAGTACTTCGTTCGAAAAAATCACAATCTTCAAATGGTAAGCCTTGTTAGAAGTATCATGATGAAATCGTGTAACAAGTTTAACTTCACTCCTAACGATACATGTGAATAGTGCATTCAGATGTATCAAAGTCATCTTAGTTGTAGTTTATGTGTGTTATAGTATACACTAAACTTTCTCTGTTGTTTACATAATAGACTAGAGATTTGTTGTGATGTTTGCAGCGCGACTTCAACCACGATTGAAAATCTTTAACTGTGAAATTTATTTACAAAAGCAATGCAAGCTTTTTCTTTCTTTTGCGCTTTCTCTATTGTTGTTTCTTTGCGATTGCGGAGCTCCTAGCAGTCAAAGGGGAAAAAAACATTCGCGTGACCTATCGGACGTATCAGTTACATGGACATGGTGGCGTGACTGTACAAAAAGCTTCGCTTGCACGCGATCTTTGTTCAATTATCACGCGATTATATTTGTTGTCATAGAATATATGATGGTGGGATTATTTTTGTTGCAGTTGCTAAACAGATTATGCAAGGAGCAATCTCCTTACTTCCGTCTTGGGTGAACCTCTGCCCTTGGCTTCCTGGTGCTGAAAGGAAGTGGTCCTCTTACAACCGCCAACCGTAGCACTGTACAACTGTCAACTGTGCAACTGTCTAAGTAGCGTGTAATTAAAGTTGTGCATGAAATTACAGCGCAATAGCTTCTCAACGGATCGTATCCACAGACTCACACTTTAAGATTTCATCTCCAGACTCAAACGTTAGAACCACCTTGTACAGCATAATAAACAGTACCACAGGAAAGTACTGCTCATTAACTTTTATTTGAGTGGTCACACTTTAGAATTTCATCCACAGACTCAAAAATTAGAATCGTTTTATACAGAATGATAAACAGCACCATAGGATAATACTACTCAGTAGCTTTTGGTCATACTGTAAAAATTCTTTAAAAATCAAACAGTGTCACGGGCCGCAGTGCTTTTCTCTCATTCTAAGGAAGTCCCAGAGGATTTCATCCACGCGTTCAATTATCAATGATTTAATTTTTTTTCTTACCTTAATTGCACCTTTTATTTTCAGGATGAAGAAGAGCTTTTCGAAGCTGAAGCAGAAAAGAGGGACGTGCAACAGGAATACAAGGAAATCCTTGTTTGGTTAAATGATGTGGAAGAGAAGGCGTCTTTGATGGCGCAACAGTGGAGCGAGGATGTCGAAGAAGATGAGCCAAGAAAGAAACGCAAAGCGGTGAGATTATCCAGTATTTATTACGCTGAGAGACGTTTAGATGCTGAGTCGAGGACGACTGCGTGGACGAGATTTTCTCAATACTAACTGAGTCGTGCGCGCGCATGAACCAGCTTTGGCGGGAAATCGTTGTAGCCGTCGTCATTCTACTATGGATTTTAGCGAGAATGTCTTGGTGGCAGAAAGAGGTTCTCAAATTTTAGAATTTTTATCATTTTACGATCGGGAGAGGTCTTGGCTTAGGCAACTCGTTCAATAAAAATAAACGTGCTAACATTTGTGGTGAAAAAAGTATGATGAAGCCTTCAGGGGTGTCTATATTTTTAGAGTTCATTGAAAAAGGAAAGTTAAAGTTAATTTGGTCCTCGTAGTTGTTCTCGTCTTCAAACTACACATCCTCGGAGACCCAGGGGCAGATAGTGGGGACGACCGAAAGTCTAAACGGGCGGAAAAATGTGGCACGAAAAAAAGTAAAGAACGGCGAGAAGAGCCCCTGGGGACAATGTCTTACCAGACCAGTTCCAAACGGCCGCCGCCGCTCTGGCTTCTGATTGGTGCCAGAAAACTTGTGTTTTTCTGGCACCAATCAGAAGCCAGAACGGCGGCGACCGTTTGGAACTGGTCTGGTAAGACATTGTCCCCAGGGGCTCTTCTCGCCGTTCTATACTTTTCTTCGTTCCATATATATTTTTCCGCCCTTTTAGACTTTCTCTCGCCCCCTTTATCTGCCCCTGGGTCTCCGAGGATGCAAACTACAGTTCTCTTTAATGAAACCTCCTTATTGCAGACACCAAAGGGTGGAGACATGCATATTTCCATGTTCAGAGGCGTCCGTTTAATCGAGGTAGATATTTTTTGACGTTTTCTGCAGTGGAACGTATCCTCAGGCCGGACACCTCTACTTAACGAACACTTAACACTTGTTAGGGCCGTTTCAAACGTCGTGCTACTGCCGTGCCGAACTCAATTCATAAATTATAAATACATTAGAATATATTTAAAAGTCTGCTAAACCGTTTCTTTATTTTTGTGTTTTGTTTTCGAAAACAGCCTTTCTATTCGACTGAATTAAATTCGACGTCTGAAAGTCGTGCTAGTGTGGTGCTGCAGTCGAGCTACAGTCGAGCCACCTTAGCACGGCAGTAGCACGACGTTTGAAACAGGCCTTACTCTGGGGACTTAACTTCATGCAATCCTTAACTCAATAATGCGGACTCTTAACTGTGTCATTATTGCTTGTAACTGTATCAGCGTAGAGCCTGTAGAACAGTCCTTATTAGGGAAGTGCCCGTTACGATTTCTTACCTTTCCCTGCACCTGCCTTTGAGAAAGTTTCAGGTTTTTAATTTTGCTGAAAGCAACACAAGTGAAGTCTACACATCCAAAATCTAGCCGATTTTAAAAAGTGAAGAATATCATCCAAACGTAGCAATCGTCGAAAATTCGTTACGCTGTAGTTTTCTGAAGTAGTGTAAACTATATGTTTGGTTAATGGCGCCTTTATTTTGTCTATACCTCTGGGTTAATTTTCTTAACAAATCGCTCTATTTTACGATATAATTCTCTCAGTTACTTCACAATGCAAAGTTTATTAACGTAGGCACGTGAAAAAGCTGTTTTTTCTTTGTGTGATCGTGAGCTATTGTATTCATATAATAGCTGGTATTTTGTGGAACAAAGGCAGGTTATTCTTGTACGTAATTTGCATTTATTAAGTCTCTGCTATCGGCGAAAACAGCGATGGTGTAGTCGGGTCTGTTAAATTTAAAGTGAAGTTTTACCGTTGATGCCGATAGCGAACGGGCCAGGGTTGATGTTCGCTTTTGCTGCGAGATTTACGTTTCGGTGAACATGGTGCTGTTCTTGATAAATGAGTTTTGGAGGGCTGTCATGTTAAAATGTCAACAACCTCACTTGAGGTAAAAGTAAATAGATTACTTAATGAGTCAATGTTTAAATTTCTTAAGCTGCTATACGTCTGCTTTGCGTGTGCTGAAAGTCAGGAAAGTGTTGTCTGTTAGCCATCCCGCATCGTCCACCAACTTAGAGACTAGATCATCTTGTGGAGCGCAATAAAAAGTATTGAAAGAATGTTTATAGGTATACTGGTCACACTTTGTGGTTTCATCACATTTCCAATGCAATAGGCGTTAAACTGAACGACTACTATTTAGTAACTATATTGAGGGACTCGAAGTCCAGTTCTCCGTAGTTACAACACAAACCGTTCCACAAGGAAGCTGTTGTGGACAGTTTTGACGTCTTCATAAACATAACCAGATTTATCCGTCACTGTGCTTAAAATAAAGGTATATTGGTTTTAAATTAATCTTTGTTTTGGAGTTATTTTTGGTAATTATTTTATTATAAAGCAGACTTAAATTAACTCCGGAAAGAAAAAAGTTGTTGCAACCTTTTCTGCAAAAAACAAGGATTCGTTGTGTCCTGGATCTTTTCTAAATATTTAGAAATTGAAAGTTCAGTGGGAAGAATTGTTACCTATTCGACTACAGAGGGAGTCAACTAATACTTAATTGTTACTCTGTTTTAATTTCAACAGAAACAGATACAAGTCTTTCGACAGCAAATCCAAAGACGCGAATACCACGTCAACCGCATCATCGAGACAAAATACCCCCAGTACACCCTCCCTGATGACAAACTCCAAGTTCTCGTCACCAAATGGGAGATAGTCAAACACAAAGTTACTGTGCTGGAAGAGAGGATCTGGGAAGTAGGACGTCACGTGAGAAGGGATGGCAAGCTCGGTAGCTTGTTGCTATGGTTACATGAGGCCGAGGCCCTTCTCAACTATTACGAAACTGACGAAAGGTGGATCTGTGAAGTTCCTCCCAAGTTTCTCTTGAGGCAGCACGAGGTCTGTTTATTGATCGAGGTCTCTAGTTTTCCGTTTTTCCTGTCTTACTCAGGGGGCTTTTTACATTAGTGGGGGTGATTTGTCTTGGACAAAATGGGGTAAGCATTAATTTCATTGGGTATTCATTAATCTCAGACGTGCTTATTGGGGAAAGTGCCCAATCATTTCGACCCAGAGGCATACTTAAATTAGCTTTCCAGGACTTTCCAGACATGGGTATGAGGATGTGAACTATTTGTCTCGAAACCTGTTAACACCATAACGTGAAACTCAAATTTTCAAAGTAGAGGTTATCCTCATTTTTACCGTGCTTATCTGATTTCGCACCCAGGCTTTCTTCAAAGACTTGGACGAGCACTGTCAGGGTCTGGATGCCATCATTCAGTCTGGAACTGAGGGTGACGTGTCGGTGGACGCTTCGTTACTGAAAGAAGTCGACGATCGCATTAAAGCCGTGCGAGATAAGTCCGCTGACCGACTCTTAAGACTAGCATATGAGAACTCCCGGTCTAAGATCCTTCTGTTGCTGGACGCTGGTCGTAAACAACTGAATTGTCAACCGGTCAAATACACCTCGCATGCTCATGTCGAGAAGGCTCTTCGGGAATACACGGTAAGTATTGAATGTCAACGTCCATAATTGACCACTACAGAAAATACCATAACATACCATAATGCTCTTTGTTTGTCACCCCAAAATTTTGCATAAGCATGGTCTTCAGTTTCTCTTGGGCGTTAAAATGGCCCCAAGAGAAACTGAAAACAATGCTTATGCAAAATTTTGGGGTGGCAGATAAAGAGCATTATGGTATGTTATGGTATTTCCTGTAGTGGTCAATTAGAACTTTGCGATCCGACGACGCAATGGTAAATAAAAGTAAAACAAAAAACAAGAAGGCAAAACATCAACTTTGCACGTGCGTCATACTTTTTTGTACATTTCTTTACCGTTTTTTCCCGACTACGACGTGGAATTACCTTCTTTCACATTTTATGAAGGACGTAAACAAGCGAAGACGAAATTTTGTTTCTCTTTCTGAACTTGGGTAGGGATCGGCTAGGAATTCAACTCCTGGGGGGTTCGCCTACTTTTGATTAAGTAATTGGGTAGGAAATTTAATCGCAGTTAAGACTGAAAGAACGTAAATTCACTTTTTAAGCGACGTTTTCCCCGCCATCGCGTCGTCGGATCGTAAAGTCCCTAATATTTAGCCCATCGGACTCACGATCCGAAAGTCTGGGCTCCTGCCGAGACCACGAACACGAGCGACCACGAGCGTATTTGTTAATAGCAGACTTCCTTTTTTGCTGCTAAATGTCATAATTTTGTTTAATTTTATTATTCACTTATGAGCCATTAATATGACTTATCGGAATAAAATTCTTTCTGCAGCTGTTTTTCGTCGATAAAACGTTCCTGAAGAAGTGCAAAAAATATCGACGAAGTCTCCACGAGACTGGCGAAGCGTTTATCAACATTCTTCCCGAAGCGCGTACAATGGAGGTTAAAAACTTCATCTGGAACGTAGACCAGCAAGTCGACAAAATGGTCGATGAAGCTACCTCGCGCCATAGACACCTCGAGGATGTTAACAAGAAGTGGAAAACGTTTGACACGCTGATGGAGTCTATGATTAAATGGATGGAAGATGCGGAGGGATTAATCAGGAATGGAACGCTCAAAGCTTGTAAGGTAGGCCATGTTAGCAGAAAACTCATAATCTAGTTTACTGAATTATTTGCACACAGGTTTAGTCTCAAAGTGCCTTGTTACTTCTCGTCAGATAATCGCGACAAAAGACATGCTTGCTGTTTCTTGGCTTCCAAATATAAGGGGTGCTTTAAAAAGATCAAGGTTTAAGGAAGCTAACTGAATTGACAGGGGACAACGCTGTGCGCTAAGAAAAAAACCATAAGGAGTCCAGTGCTGCCATCAAGGCATGAGACGACCTGATCATGTTGATGACTGTTACCTTTTGTCATTATTATTTTAGGATTATCTGAAAGACATCGATAAAATCCAATCAGATGCCTCCACAGCACAGGATTGCAGCAAAACAGTGTTAGCGCACTGCCAGGATCGCGTGAAAATGGACATAAGCCAACGTCTTCGAGACGTTGATCGACGCCTGAATCGTATTATTAGAAGGCATTCACGTATCATGAAGTGCGACAAGCGCAACTCTAAGCTGGAGAAATTTGAGGATACTGTGGATGGTGTCATGGATTGGATTTACGATGCAGAGGTGTTCGTGTCCTCTGCTGTAGAGGCAACATATGAAGCTGTGAAAGAACGAACTGACAGACTTGAGGTAGATACAGTAGAAGCCAATACGGCAAATTCGCACTAGAAATTTCAAATTTCCTTTCATAGCATTCCTCGAGAAAAGCGTTTTATTTAATAGAAAAATAAACTGCACCAAAGCAAACACGTTACTTAACACGACTCAATAAACAGTATCACACTAAAGGGTTTCATCCAACGCCTTGGCTTAAAAATTAGAACCACCTTATAAAGCATAATAAACAGTATCGCAGGAAAGCACTGCTCAGTAGCTTTCATGTTAATGGTCACATTAAACGCAAACGTAAAGTTAGAACTACTCTGTACTATGTAACGGGCTTTCAGGAGAGACTTATTCATGTACTGACCTTGTTTTAAGATGTGATTGTTTCTCTGTCTGCCTTTAGTTGACTCAAAGGGAGATTGAGCAATGTGAATCAAACGTGAACTCATTAAACAGACTCACTAAAGCCATTCTGAAGGACTTCAAAACTGACATGACTTCCTCTATAAATGCCACGTTATCTAATATTAACCGGAGATTTGAGAAGATAAAGGCTTCTGTTCCGCACAGGTAATAAAAACAAGATTTCGTTGTGGTAAACTTATCTTTTACCTGTAAAAATTTCGAAGGATGTTTTAGAACTGCTTTGAAAATGAGAGTAAAGTTACAGAGAAAGGAAAATATTCTGGCTTTAACTTGGCAGTTTATTGTGTCCGAAGTGTCCAAGTATTTCCTGCATAATTTGCTTGTCTCTCCTCGTT